GTATTTTCACCCTCATAAGTATATGCAGCGACAGCATCGCCGTAGATGGCACTAAAATTAGTTGAGGACAGATAGCCATGACCGCCACAAGCCAAGCGTAGACGTTCGATGCCGAAAGAGGCATCCGTGGTGGAAAGCACTTTCAGTGCACACGAAATTATGTGCATGTCTGTCATGCGTGAGTAATCACCAGCGGCGATCTCTTTCAGCGTCAATTCGTACATTTCCCACATGTGTTTAGCGGCAAGATGGTAGGCTATGCCGTTGGCTATTTCCGGAAAGAGTTTATACTGCTGCGTTACATGATCGATGATTTGCGGTTCAGGCTCACTGAAAGCGTTACAATTTTATATTAAATTTGTATTAAAAATAGATAGCATAGCTAAAGGGCGCTTACTTGGTATTAATCGGACTCTGTCGTCTAACTGCCGAGTAGCGTGTTGCTATTGTGGCAGCCTGCAATAGGTAATTCGATGACCATCTTCNAGGTTTGCCAAATTTTTCGATTTGCTCTGGTGTTCCTTGGCTGAAAATCACATCAACAAACATTGTTATGTGCGTGCCAAAAGGATGGTTAATAGGCATCAGTGCTTGACCCGGAAAGCTGTAGAGTAATTTCCTTAAAAAAAAAAATGTTAGCTATATTTTTGTACTATGTTTGAATTTTACTGGCTAACCAGAATGGTGATACTGTGCCCACAATAGGTAGCTATGGTTGTAGTGCATTATAATAGCGTGAAATAGCTTGTGGCTGTGGTACTACATTCTGGCTAGCCAGTAAGTATTAGCTAAACTTACGGCCAAATATCATTGCCACCTGGATTGCGCAGCGCTTGCAATTTTTGTAACTTTTTTGATGCTTCGGTGACATCCTTCAGTGCCAGATGGTAAACATCTTCATGTGATAGGTAGTCGTGCATGTGACCATCTCTGAGATCCTTATAGAGGTAGTTTTCTGTAAGGCAATTCGAGTTCAATTAGAAAACTTAATTAATTTTTTGAAACGGCTTTCTGTTTCGCAAGGATACTCTTATTAATAATTAAAATTATTTGTCTTGGAGTTCGAACCGATATACTAATTATTTAAGTGAAAAGTGATGCTGTCTCGCAATTGCCAACCAATGAATCGAGGCTTTGCAGAAGACGACCCCGATTCATATCTGGCCAAGGACCGTCACGCCAGCAACATTCCCCAAAAGCTCTTGGCAATTTGTGTGCCGTTACAGCAACAACAACAGAAGCCGCTTTAATATACATATATGAGAATGTGTGTGTGAGTTTGTGAGTAAATTTTAAAATTAAAATGCTTGAAAACTTCAAAAATGCTAAAAGTGTCTCCCAGCGTTTCTACCTTACTATATTTTTATCATGGGTCAAACGATATTTTTATTATCATTTTTTTTCGCGCATAAAAATATTTCCCTCGAATTTCGTTAATGATTCAAGTTAATGCATGGCTCGCCGGCTCAAAGATGCCTAATTGCCGGTAATTATCACCTGTTCGTTCACTTACATGTATGATTGTA